TGTTAGCAGAGTGGTCCTGTTAGAAGTGAGGTTCTGTTAGCAGCATTGTCCTGTTAGCAGAGTGGTTCTGTTAGAAGTGAGGTTCTGGTAGCAACATTGTCCTGTTAGCAGTGTGTTTATATATTCTTATCAATGTTCTTTGTGTAGTTCAGTAAATTTTGAGTTGTTTTTCGCTTCCTGAAGTGCCAAAACATGTTTACTTATTGTAATGAAGCTGTATTTTTTATAAATAAGGTGTTTTATTTACATTTATTTACATGAAATAAGAAAAAAAGCTAAATTACACCAAATTATCAAACGTCATAAAACATACTCACTTGACAAACATTTCTAAAGTCCCCAGGAGCTTGAAATAAAAAAATAAAATTAGAATTTTTCAAATATAAACAAATTAAAATTTGACAACATGAAACAATAAATATAGCACTACTAGAATTAATAAAACAGCAAATTAAATATTTCCATTTATGCTTGACAGAGACTTCAATTCTAATAAACATTATAATTTAAATATTAAAAATAGTATTTAATATTTAAAAAATATTCTTCATAAATGCCTAACTGAATTTTATATTTTATTTGAAAACAAAGTTATAATAACATAAATGATATTAGAAGCAGTTTTTATGATATGAAGCTCATTAAATGGTTCCAGCGTTTCCACATTTTTTTTAATCTGAGCTCTGAGTAAAGAACTTTCCCTCAGTGATGAAGTAGTTCTCCTCCCGAGGCGTTCAGTGGTTTTCTTCATGTCTGTGTGGTTTTGTGTTTTCTGAGCAGTGAACTTGTGCTCCAATCCTGACGACAAGCTGCAGATCTACAGGGACAACTTTGAAAAAGCCTACATGGATTCTACCGAGAGGTTCTACAGAACTCAGGCACCGTCGTACCTCCAGCAGAACGGGGTCCAGAACTACATGAAATATGTGAGTCGCCTGCTGCTCTGGCTTCTAAAGCAAAAGTAGAAATGTGAGCCACGATGGAACAAAGACATCAGAACCCAGCCAGCAGGATCTGCTGCTGGGATCTCTTCTAACATCCTCCGATTGAAACAGAGCGGCGGTGTCCGGTTTGATTCCTCACAGCAGTCAAGTCTTAGCAACCTGCGGCTCTGTAGTCCCCCTCCATCGACTCTTTGACCAAAACTAACACGGTCATAATTATTATATAATAACAATACAAAATGTCATTTTATGTATGAATTGATCCAAATATAACTAAAACTTCTGTAACAAAATGATACAAAAAGAAAAACATCGGTCAGAATGTCCTGATGCTGCTCAGTTTTATTTATTTTTATTTAAGCTTTATTTATACAGGTTAGTCTCATTGAGTCGTGAGGACTCATTTTCAAGAGAGACCTGATCTAGACAGACAACACGAAAAGTACAGACAAAAATACACATCAACAAAAAGCAATTAAAAGAAAAATCTGTGTTGCTGTTAGCAGCATGGTTCTGTAAGCAGCATGGTTCTGTAAGCGGAGTGATCCCACCAGGAGCGTGGTTCTGTTAGC